AACATTCTTGTTTCTGCATCTTTGCATCCAATTACTAGCCACTTCTTGCTCTACCTCAAGTTTGGTGTTGAAATTCTTTCTTTCCAGCTCCCATTTTTCTTTTTCAACATTGAATTCTTCAATCTTTTGGCCCCTGACTTCAAGTTCAGCAATCAGCTGGTTCATTTCAGATTCAAATCCCTTGAACATGATATTTTTCTCACCTTCAAATTTATCAAATATGTCATTCTTCATTTCTTCTAAATCTTTGGCTCGATCCCTTTCTCTTTGCATTTCATTCATGATCTCGCGGTGTTCAGCCTTGTGTTTTATAATTCGCTCTCTTCTGTCGACCTCAAAATCTTCCATTTTTTAATTCCTTTCTCAAGGCTTTTGAATAGACAGCTATTCTTTCCTTTCAGATCTTCAACTCGACTTTTCTCGATGTTCAATTCTCTGGTCATCTGTACCGTTGATTGGCTTGGTCTTGCTGCTTTCCGGGATTTATATAACTCTTGGTAATTTTTCTTTAATGCTCTAAATTCACCATCAACTTTTTCTTTGTTTTCTCTCAACATTGCACATTGTGATGAATGAAAGTCAATATCAACACCCAACACCCAACATAGCTTTATCTCGTCTCATTTGCTCTAATTCTCTTGACCAGCCTTCTCTTTCTGCTTCAAACTCAACTCTCAGGATTTCAATCTCTGATGGAACCACCTTAATGCGATCTTCCATAGAGATATCCTCATTTTGATCTGGTAGAGGAATATTTTCATTTTTCCTGACATATTTCCATTCCTCATAATCAGGAGTTAGCATTTCTTTTGCTGCTTTAGCTCGGATACAAAAAGTTGTTTTCCAAGCTGTAACGGCTTCCATGATATTTCTTTTATAATTTTTGCTGTGAAATGCGAACTCAGATGAATGTAATCCAGCGGTGACAGGTACAAATTGACGACCTTCATACTGTCTTATGACCAGAAGTGGTGCATATCCAATTCCTCCCCACAATCCGAGCAGTATTATCCAATTGTAATCACCACATTTGTAAAAGAATTCCCTTTGGATTTGCCACGGGGCTCGCCAAACAATGTCATTACTTTGCAGATTTCGAAAGGCATTAATCCACATATCTTTCTTAATTTCTTTCGGCCATTCCTGCTCCAGAAATTCTTTTAATGGTGAGTAATCCGTATTAAAGCGTCGGTATGAAACCTTTTCTGTCCTCCAGAAATGACTACGGATCCAAACATATAACAACTGGGTACACCCTGAGAATCGTCCACCTCCTAGCTTTCTACAAGCATTTAATGATCTGAAGGTCTCTGCTAGAATTGCAGAAGCAGGATTAATCTTTTTCGGTAGCTGTTCAAACAAATCTACCACTGCAGCTTCAACATATCCCAATACTTTTGGGAAGATGACCATACCATACATACTCAGAGCAAATAGATCGAATCGTACTTTAGTGTCTGGATGACTCTGAATAAGTTCTTTAATGTTGGTCCAAGCAATGCCTTTGCTTTCGCCTTTTTGTTTTGTACGGGATGCCACCCATTCTTCTCGTACCCCGGCAATCTTTGCTAATTTAACTCGAAAGGGTTGAGTTTTAATTGACTTTGAATAGATTCGATTCTCTAAAGCCCCTTCTATATGTAGCAAAGTTGTGTACTCTTCAATAGTAGGGACCAAGTCCTCCTTATTGAGAGTGAAGCAATTGTACCTTGGATTCCAGAATTGAATTAGGGCTCTGAGTAATTCATCATCAACTTCGACATAGAGCAAATATGGGATATCTCCGTAAGTATGATAAAACTGCAATTTTTTATTTGAATCCCAACTTTCCCAAATGCTTCGCAAATCTTGCATATCATTTCTTTTTAGCGAAACTGGAGCATAACTGGCCAAGTCAGATACATAATCATCCTGCAGACTGTCTCCTTCTTGTCTTTGTAAGTCCTCAGCCCACTGTCTTACTTCTGAGTTTAGAATTATTTGATTTGAACACTTTTTATCCATGGATGAAGGCTTTCCAATGAGACAATTAACACACGGATCAATTCCTTTTATCCTGTATGATGCTATGCAAAATAAAAAAATAAAGAACACACAAAAAGAAATGAATTAGTTTACATAATAAAGAATTTAACAATAATATCTACTTAAATATCTTTATTTAAACATGCTTTTTCATAATTTAAATAATTTAAATTTACATGTAATTTAATCAGTAAAGAAAATAAATAAATTAACAGGAAAGTTAGAATTCATTTCTCCTGTGTGTACACCTATTTTGGACAAAATTTCTGCATGACTTCAGACCGGGAGAGTTTCTAAGTTTTATTATATGCATGGTTTCAGATCTAAGAATAAAGGTACCCGAATTGTCCTTGTTATTGCCCCCTTGGGTTGATAACCCTCAATCCTAGTCCATCACAGACTAAAGTGGATCGAGTTCAATTCGAGGGGATACATTTCTCTATGCCTGACATGGAGAATAAATTCTCACGAAGACATAGAGCATATGAACCCCGAAAGTTACTTGCTAGGTCTGACACGGAGAATAAATTCTCACGAAGACGTCACTTTCACTCCCACTTAAAAGGGACAAACTCAATTATAGAGCTTTATGTTATGCAATGCAAGTGTTGTGTGTTAGGAGAAATGTTCAAACCTCTGACAGAAAAATAAATAATGAAATAAAATATTTGCAACTAAAAAAAAATATTAATAGGAAAAATATATACATACTATGAAAATAATAAATATATAAAAATTTGAAAATAAAAAATTATAAATTAAATATATAAATTTTAATTTATAATTAATAGAGATAATTTATAATTGATTTTAAAAGTTTGACCAGTCCCCAGCAGAGTCGCCAAGCTGTCGTAACCGGTTTTCGTCCGGGCACAAAATATAATATTTGGCGGGAAAATTGATGTGAATAAATGATTTTGAAAATAATTTGGGAGTCGCCATCGACCTTTTGGGTCAGGTAGGTCGAATATCTAAAGATTATTTTTTTAAAAAGAGTTTTAAGAAAACATCAATTAAAAAATGAACTGATCTGCGTTTATAACCAAAAATTCGTTCTTTTTAATAATAAAAAGGGATTCGTGGTCGGTTACGTTTAGGGAATGATTAGCACCCCTACAACGCCCAAAATTGGTACTTTTTAATTATAAATTGTCTCTATTAAAAATTCAAAATATATTTAATTTATAATCCTATTATTTTAAAATTAAAAATATTTATTTATTTAAAAATATCGAAAAAGGACTTCTAGGTGCCTTAAGACAGCTCTTTTCTTTGATATTAATAAAATTAAAATTTTTTGTAATATTTAATTTTAAAATACCAGAATAGGACATCCAGTTGTATTAAGACTGCCCTTTTCTTCGATATTGAAAAATAAATATTAAAATAATTTATTGAAAAAAATATAAATTATTATTTATTATATATATTTATGACTACATACATAATAATAATAAAAATATTTAAATATATAAACAAGTATTATTAAAACAATAAAAATACAATTAGAACGATATATTTAAAAGCAGTAAAATAAATGAAAACATTTAAAATTAGTGACTAAATTATAGTAAAATTAAAATTAAAAACCTAATTCATAATTAATCAAAATTATAGGGATTAAACATGCCATTTTCTTATTTATTAATTTAGTGACTAAAATAAAACTTATCTAAAATTCGAATATCATATTAAAATAAATTAAAAATATAAACTCGGAATTAAAATATTAATTATTAAAATTAAGGGATTAAATCTGTTATTTACTGTAAATATATTATTTTAATATAAAGGAATAAAATAAATAAAACTAAAATTTAAAGATCAAATTAAAAGGATTATAAATTGATTTAGTGACTAAAATGTAAGAGTTACAAGTTATAATGGCTGCGGACGGGATTTAACAATTAAAATTTGCACAAATAGTCCTTCCCGAAACGACGTCGTTCGGGAAGGCCTATTTAAGGTCTGAAACGGCTGGCCCTTTGGGCCAGCCTTCATTTCTCAGTTTCTCCTCTCTCTCTCTTCTCTGAGAGAGAATTTTCTCCCTCGCTTCTCTCTAAAACAGAGAGAAGCCAGTCGGCCGGCAGCCGTCCGCCGGTGTTCTTCCGCCGCCGGCCACCTCCTTCGGTGGCCGGAATAAAAAAAAAATTATACTAAAACATAGATCGGACCGTCCTAATGATGGTTCAGATGGCTTTTTCTTTTAAACGGCTCCCGATCGGAGCAAATCTAAGAAATATACCTTCGGTTTTCGAAGGTTTTGGTGAGGTCCGGTGGTCGTGGCTTCCTCGGTAAGCTTCTCTTCTTTCTTTCTTTTTTTCTCTGTTTCTTTGCTGGTTTGTTGGATTGTTGTTCTCTGTTTTGTTGTTTTTGCTCTGTTTCTGTCTCTCCGGCTATATCTCTTTTTCGCAGATGGGGTGATGGCTTTATAGCCATCACCGGTGTGGCCATCGGACCGGGTAAAAGAATGGAGTCTGGTGAGTCACCGGACTCCCAGTGGTGACTCACCGTTAGGATGACATGTGTGCGGCTGGAGTGGCGGCGAGGCTGAAGCAGCGCCGCGTGGTCTTCTGGAATCTACGGCGGCGCTGGGACGTGTCCCTAGGGTATTGATACCCTAGGGTTTCCTCTGGCAAACTGTGGACCGTTGGATCAAACCAGATCCAACGACTGACATTGAGGATGGCGGCTGAAGATGATGAAACCCTAATCAGTTTTAGGGTTTCAGTTTAACTGGGCCTGGACCAGTATGGGTTATAATTGGGCCTGGATTTGGGCTTTGTAATATTAATAAATAATTAATAATAATAATAATAATAATAATAATAATAATAAAAATGGGTAAAAAAATTTAATATATTCAATACGACTAATTGGCTTGTTTATTATTTTCTTTTGTATGTGTTGTTTGTCTTGCTTCAAAAGTGTTCATGTTGCTAGTCTTAATTAACTGGCTACCTGTTGCAGGTTCCTAGACTCTTGTTACATAGGTGCACAGAATTCAGCCTTTCTGCAACAGGTATGACACCTTTAGTAATGCTCTCTTATTGGCCTTATGCTGCAAACATATATTGGTCTTCCTCTCTCAGTTCTACTGATAGTCTTTCATGCATGGGAGTTTTACCGATAATCTTTGATGTACAGAAGTTTTAGGCTTCTTACATAACTGGTGGTGTACATCATAAGCCGCAAAATTTGGATGGGTTGTTTCAATATCTTATGGTATGTTGTTTTTCTCAAACTGGTTTGCAATTTGAATTTTTGATTTAAAATCTTGCTTGTTGCCAGCAATTGCCCCACTCTGTACTGACTGATGAGCTTAACTTGATTTCTTGACATACGTTTAATAGACTTGTTCATGATGATTGTACCGTGTAACCTTTTGCATATTGTTTTAGTGTCTATTTCTTTATAAATGTTCTTCAAAGTGCATTTGGTTGATGAAAATTTGGGCAAATTATTTTATTAATATGTTATTGGCCTTCCATGCAGACTATCTTTGCTACTGACTTGCATTCTCGCAGTTTCATACATCTTCCAAAGTCAGTTGGTGTATAGTTTCGTGCCTCGTAAGTTTTCATGCTCTTATTGCTTTAACTTTAAACAATGTAATGATTTTCATACATCTTCCAAAACCTGTTCATGTAGATTTTCGTGCCTTTTAAGATTCAATGCTCTTATTAACTGCCTAAAAATGCATTCATATTCTATTTCAGGTTATTTTGTAACAAAACGGAGCATCTCAAACTTATATTTTAATTTTTCAAGAATCATTGTTTATTTCTGTGTCTTGTTCATACAATAACATTTTCAAGTTGAATTTTTAGTTTGGATTGCATCTTTTTTTATATGTTATTGTTTCACTGTTTGGATAATATCATTTTCTCAATTTTGTTCTAATATTGGATTTATTTGGTGTACTTGTAGAAATAAAACATTTAATTTTAAAATTTTATAAAATACAATTTTATAAAAGAAATTTAAAAAAATTTAAAAGGTAAATAACAAGTAAAATATAAAAATGTATACATTTTTACAAAAAATAGATTCCGTAAATTGTATTAAGAAAAACTAACCAAACAGTGTAAAACATTTTACAATGCAACATCCAAACAATGTAAAATGTTTACTGGAAAATATTTTTCGGAAATGTAATTCATTTTCCATAATTTATTTTTCAGAAACTGTTTTTAGTGAAACAAACGGACTAAAAATGTTCATTACTCACCCCTGATAATGATATTTTTCACTAACTAAAGAGCCCCTTAAAGTATTTTGGTCTTAACGTTTTAATTTAGGATAAAAATGTTCATTTGTAAATGAAAACAGTTAGTTAACAAACGATTAACATTCTATTCTTTTCAAAAACAACGTTGAGAAATAAAATGCACCATAAAAATAATAAGAGCTAAATTTATTATTCAGTTCAATGCTAAAGTGTCACACCCCATATCTGTACTTGACCCGGATACGAATCTGAGGTGTAACATTGACTTTTCAATGCTTTGACTCTTTGAAAATCTAATTAAAATTTGATTTTTTATCTTTATTTTAATGGCAAAACCCTCAATAAAACAGGTTACTATCAAAATTAATATTAGACAATCAAAATAAATATGTTCATATATATACATAAACTCTAAATAGTATGGTTACAAAATAGATCAGACTATTTGCGATTTAAACATTTATGATACATGCCAACAAAATTTCGAAAGAACATAATCACATACTGTTCAAATCGGTCTGATCTGATCTTCTTCAAAGTGAATGTTGTCCTGTCCTAGCTTTACTCTTCAGACTACTTTGAACCTACGTGTAAAAACACTCACACGCTAAGTCGTCGACTTAATGAGGCATAAGTGAGCATAATAAAACATTAAAGCATTTTCTTAAACATTTACTAAGAAACATTGAATACGAAAACCAATATATATTTCATAAAAATAACGTATATTGTTATGCATTGTTCAATTCATATCAATTTGTTTAAATAGCCCAACGCATATCATTGAGAACTCAAGGTATGTGAGTACTTTGAGGTTATGCATTGTAATTGCAGTCGAAATTACCGCGTAGAATTTGCATCGAAGTGCCACATAGATTTATTCCAAAGGACAGTGTAGAATTGTCTCGAAGGACCACATTGAATTGTCCCGAAGGACCGCGTAGAACCCTCGACTCTTGGCATGCCAATTATACCTCTAATCTCATAGGACATACTTTGGGCTTTAACCATATAAGTACTCGCATAGCATTATTCACATGATCCTTTATTCACATAGAACACATACGCATAGAAATGAAATCAAAACAGTGCTTCTAAAATACAATTTAGGTAAAACATTATAAAGATATTTCATAAAATAATTTAAATTTTTTTCGATTGAAAACCTTTGAGGTTGGCTCATTGCAATCCATCCTCATATCAAATATAAAATAAGTAAGTTGCACTCACATTTGCTTAACTTAAGCCTTAAGCAAAATCCTTTTCACTTTCGCTCAATTTCTTTATTACGTCTATTCGTTCGATACTTTCTCTTAATCAAAATCTACAAAATTGCATGATCAAAATGAATATCGGAGCTCAATTAATTATTAACCAATCAGTATTTACATAAACTAATTGAAACACCTATTTCACAATTTCAGGCTGAACAATATCGGTAGTCTATACCCACTACCGATATTTCCCTTCTATGGTACCGATACCTACCTCAGTATTGATACCTTAATTGGGTTATGAAAAATCCTTTTCAATTACAGTATCGTTACCCTACGATTGGTATCGATACCCCCAGTATCGATACTACTCCTTCAGTATTGATTTTGTTCATCCGATTCATATGGTATCGATATTGTTCTTCTAGTACCGATATCTCATGTCCATAATTCACTTATTTCATTTCGCTAAAACTCACCTAAATCTCATACTTCTAACTCCATTTATGGTCTTAAACTTAATAACACCTATCACAACCAAATTATATCAATTAAATTTTGTGTAACATCCAAAATTTTCACTAGAACACTTAAAACTAAAAATCACACCCATTCTTCAAACATGTTTCCAATCCTTTCTAATACTTCAAATACCTTATTCACACCTTTGACAAGACAAATATACCTTTAAAATTCAAATACTAATCAAATTTCATCAATTCCCGTAAAAACTGATTTTACCAAATCACCATTAACTCATCAATCCCATAGCTTCTAATCATCTTTAAGCTTTCTTAAGCTTCTATACCACCCAAAGACTCAAAACCAAATAAAAAATGCAAGAAACTACCAACTTCAAATTTTTCTCACCTTGGAAATGGAGTTCACAGTGGAAGAGAAGAAGAGAAAATGAAGAGAATCTCTAGACTTTTCTTTTCCATTCAATTATTTTCCATCACATGCTATATAACATTAAAATGAATTTTAAATTCATTTCATGCCAAAAGACCAATTTGCCCTTCTATTCTTCAATCTTTAATAAAATGCCCTAAACAATAATTTCCAAATCAATCCTTCAATATTTTGATTTATCAAAATCAAACCGCTAAATTTTAAATTCTTACACTTTAGTCACTAGCCCGATGTTTGGGATATTAAAATTCTCGCCCCTTAAGAAAAGTCATCCTTGAATTTTCACTACACAAAGAGATGAGGAAGTTCTTTTCTCATGTCCTCTTCACTCTCCCATGTCGCCTCTTCCATTTTGTGATTTCTCCAAAGAACTTTAGCAAATGGAATTTTCTTGTTCCTTAGTTGTTTGACTTCATATACTAAAATTTGCATTGGTTCTTCCTCATAGGTCAGATCAGATTGGATTTCTATCCTTCCGGTGCTATGATGTTAGAAGAATTTGATCGATATCTTCTAAGCATCGAAACATGAAAAACATTGTGGATCTTCTCCATTTCCGATGGCAATGCTAACTGATATGCCACTAGTCTCACTCTCTTTATAATCTCATACGGGCCAATGAATCTAGGATTGAGCTTTCCTTTTCGACCAAAATGAAGCACTTCTTCCAACGAGAGACTTTCAAAAGCACTTTATCTCCTACTTTATACTTAATCTCTTTTCTTTTTAAATTCGTGTAGGACTTTTGTCTGTCTGCTACCACTTTAAGGTTTTGTCGAATCACTTGGACCTTTTCTTCTACTTCTTTAATCAAATCAGGAACAAGTACATCCCGATCTTTTAATTCGTACCAATTAAGCGACGTTCTGCATTTTCTTCCATACAACGCCTCATACGGTTCCATTTTAATGCTCAATTGATAATTATTATTATACGCAAACTCTGCAAGAGGCAAATATTTCACCCAAGATCCATGGAAATCAATCACACACACCCTTAACATATCTTCCAAAACCTAGATAATCCGCTCAGATTGACCATCTGTATGTGGGTGAAAGTTTGTGCTAAAATTCAATCGAGTACCCAGGACTTCATTTAAAGACTTCCAAAACCTTGACGTGAACCTTGGATCTCTGTCAGATACTATTGAACTCAACACTCCATGAAGTTGAACAATCTCGATATATAATTTATTATATTTATTCATCAAATAATCAGTTCCAACAAGAATAAAATTTGTTGTCTTCATTAATCTATCAACTATCACCCAAATAGAATACATTTTTTTCAATGTCAATGGTAGCCCTATTACGAAATCCATCATAACTTTCTTCCATTTTCATTGAGGAATAGAGATCGGTTGTAAAATTCCTGAAGGTACCTGATGCTCAACCTTTACTTGTTGACATGTTAAACACTTTGCAACAAACTCTATGATAGCTCATTTCATACCTAGCCACCATTATTGGCCTTTTAAATCGTGATACATCTTGTTACCTCCTGGATGCATAGTCAACGAACTACAATGCACTTCAAAAAGTATATCTTTCTTCATCTCTTCATCACTTGGAACACAAACTCGGTCTCTATAGTATAAACATCCATCAGACTTTACTTTAAAGTCCTTGATTTCATCTTTTTCCACTTGTTCCATTCTTGCTAAACACTTTCCTTCTCTCATTTGCAACTCCTTTATTTGCTCCAACAATAAAGTTTTTATCTTTAATTTAGCCACCAGAGCACCACTGTCCTTTAAAGATAATAGGACATCTAACATGCATAAAATTGAAAAAGTCTTTCGGCTACAAAATTAGCCTTCCCTGGGTAATAATCTATGATTGCATCATAATCTTTAAGTAACTCGATCTATCTCCTTTGTCTCAAGTTTATCTCCTTTTGAGTCAGCAAATACGTTAAACTTTAGTGATCAGTGTAAATATAACAACGCTCGCCATATAAATAGTGACATCATATCTTCATTGCAAACACCACCGCTGCTAACTCAAGATCATATGTCGGATAATTCCTTTCATATGGCTTAAGTTGTCTCGAAGCATAGGCTACTAACTTTCCATCTTGCATCAAAACACATCCCAAACCATTATGGGAAGTGTCACTATAGATTGTATAGTCCTTGCCCGATTCTTGTTGTACTAGCATTGGAGCCTCCATTAGAACATTCGTTAAAGATTCAAAACTATCTTGGCATTTATCC